AGAGTCGCTCTGGGAACTAGTGTTGTAGGGTTTGCGTCACCATGCCAAGTGTCGTAGTGTTGCTTGCTTAGTCAACACCACGTAAGTGGAGGTTGACTTTGAAAAAGTGTGGCGGGGGCGCTGCGATGAAATACTAGGCGTCACGGTGCCACTGACTTGGCATATGCCATATCAATGACTGCCTTGTGGTCTAACAACAACCAAAAAGTTGTTGTTCTAGGGTTGAGGTGCTCTAAGAGGTGCTAGGACTCCATGGTGAACTTCTATGCTCGTCTCGTTCTTCCAGCTAAGTGATCTGGTGTCACAATTGTCAGAAAAGCTAACAATATATAATACTCAAAACACTTGTGGCTTGACACACATATCGTAAGTTCAAACATAAGTTGTATAATATCCCATCACCGAGGTACAACTGACATACTTATTATATGAAAATCCCTCAGGGGGGTACGACCAAAAAATCCAAAATCAAACCCCTCGTTGGGTGTGCAATCTCGATTCAACAAAAGGAAGAAAAGGAACTGCAACAAACACCTCTCTCTCTGAGAAGAACGAATGTGGGGAACATCTACAAGTCAACACCCGCACACTCATTGTCATCATTGTCTTCGCCACAGTAGCTTGTCGTGCCACTTGGCGCTGCGCCTCGAAGAAGAAAGCATATTGGGTAGGCGGGGCTTAGCCAGCATGACCATGTTGACCTCATTTTTGTGAGGTCTTTTCTTCTCCTCCTTAGAGCCTAGGTTCTAGCTCTAGAAATTCCTATGGACCATCTTAGAAAACTAGAATTGAGACTCACCTTTCTAGAAATTCCAGCCAATTCCTATTTTCCTTTGATGTCTAGCATCTTTGGCACAAGACCATCGTCTTATGATCGAGCGGTTATGGGCTATTTTGTGAACACTCAAATGAAAAGTTCTCAATAGGACTTCAAGCCTTAGGAAAACATTCGTCTCGACTTTTCCGTCACGTTCACACACAAAGTACACGAAGTTCACGAAATTGCGCGAAATCGGACTTCAATTAAGCCCAAAGAACGGGTGAAAATGCGAACTTCTCCGGATGACCTGCGACGACAAATGGGACTGCGCCAACGCGTCCGGGATACCCATTTTGGTAGGGACGGACACCCATATTGCCATACTTTCGACATCAGCAAATTGACACGCAAATCAGTGAATTTGTCAAAATGACCTCTGAACGGCAAAACAGACTGCACCGGCACGTCCAGAATGTCGATTTTACCTAGGGAGGACACCTATTTTGCTTGGGCGCCGCACATGGATAAATCGCATGAAATTTGATATATATATA